AATTAATATAGAAAAACAATAACAGTGGAAAAGCAGTTTGCTATTAGAAGGATGACTGGCTTCATTACCTCGTTTATGAAACTGTGATTGGATATGATAAAGAACGCACTAGCTATTCTAAATTAATGATTGACGAAATCTAGTGGCACGATTTTAAACTATTCATTCTGAGTTACTATTGTATATGCTGTCGAGAAAGGACTTTACCTGGCTGACACTAATATCACATTAAGCAATTCCACGTTCAGTGCCACCTGTTCCAGTCTTAGTATAACTAAATGGCTCGATCTTACCCCACCGGGCTGTAGGAAAAATGCACACCGGTATACACTTACGGTGTGTAGACTGATGTACATTGCTTTAGACGGATATATCTTGATGTGTTCCCTATATACAAATAACCCGCACATAGAAGCTTACGATGACGTTTCGGACCATTTACAAAGTCACACAAAGTGTAACTTTGTAAATGGTCTAAGTCGGACCGAAACGTCGTCGTAAGCTCCTCTCTTCTACGTGCGGGTTATTTGTGTATCGTTCCAGTCACGGTAATGTGCCTTTTTTTTTGTTATTTATATCTTGATGTGGCCTGGACGCAACACTAGACCCACAAACCGGCCCTTGGTAAAACCAGTAATACTTAAGTGTTTACGGTAATTATGCAGTTTTTAACATTGTTACGCTAGTAATGACTTAACAGGGAAAACTAATGTGTAAAGAGGCTTATTTAAAGTATAGTCTGTTAAACTAGGTTCCTCATTTAGACTTACAATGTGGAAATTCCTTGGATGTGACGTGTTGGTATACTGGCTTTCTACCGAGTCTGATTGAAATGAATGAGCCACAGACTCTGTGCAGCAAAATTTTGTCCCGGCTGAAATGAATGAACCAGAATCTATACTATAGAATTTAGTTCCGTGGTTAATTATGCCGGAATGATGATCAAACTAAATGTAAATTATGTGATCAGGCATATGGTCACTGTCTTGAACACTGTGCTTAATTGTCCACTTATTGAGGAATACAGAGATAGTATAATAACCTATGTGACATGTCAAGATATCTTATTAATGAAGATAAGATACCAGATATACCTAGCAAATTTCCTAAATTTGCTTGTAATAGATAATTGAACTATAGATATGTAGATATAAATCCATATGTATTCCTGTTAACCCTTTGGGGAAAGTTCCTAGGCCTTTTGTGTATCCATATGCTCTTGCGCTACCGTCCACGGGTTGGATATGGGGTGCACAATAAACTAGCCACTTCGGTGGCAAAATCTCTTCAAGCTCCAGTAGGCGGCACGAAGCTGGAACTGGGACACTCGGTGCCCGAGATTTGACAGATCTATAATAGCGAGGCAGTGCTGTTTACGCCTATATACTTAGTATAACTTACCTATATAAACTACAGTCTACCCCTCGAGGGAGGTTCCTTGACGCTGGTGAGTGACTCATGATCTAGGGAATTGGATCTGTACGCCGGTTCCCTGAATTGAGCCCGAATACCTTACCCCCCCCCCCCCCACATGTGCTGTATAATCCTACGGGTTTAGCGCTCCTCATAATTATAATTATATAATTATAAACTACAGTCTTAGGCTAGGTGGCAACTTACAATGGTTCACAGTTAATTATCTTACAATTTAAAGTCTGGGGTGGCAGTGTGGCAACACGGCTCTCGACAAACCTTTTGTAGTAGGGAAACCATCTTGAAGCTTTTCCCTTCGCTCCTAATTCTCCCCATCCTGCTTGTTAACGGTTCAGGTATTCTAGCGTTACCTAGAATGGAAAAAATCAGTTTTTCCACATTTGCTGTGTGGTAATCTGTTGGTGCAAGAGTACCTTACAGTGCCAAAAGAATGGCACAGATTTTGTATGACTAGTTAATGGGTGAGTTTGTTGCCAAAATGAGTATTATTATTATTATTAATTTTTGGATTCTGAACAATAATTGGATGAGCGATAGCGGGCTTTGCCCAAAGGAAGGTTTGTATTGATTTTGGGCTTAAAGTAAGGCCGTATTTCAGTTTTATTAAACAAATTGTTTTCCACTCAGTAACTGAAAAATGCATCTTCTGATCGACTTCAAACCTTAAACGATGGTATATCTTTAGTAGGCATTTTTAACTTTCCCTTGAACGTGTAAATACCAGTTAGCTAAGTTAATTGAATATGTTGTGAGAATTTTAATAATGGTTTTCATGAGATAATTTGTAAATACCTCATCCAATTACCATCAAACTCTTAATGCTCATGTAGCTTTGAATTGTTATGAAACTGTAATTATCTGTTTGTAATTGCCTAGGTGCAGCTACAGTAGAGCTATGTTCATGGTGTCCCGTCTTCCATAATTTGTTCATCTTGTACATTTTAAATTTAAAATGGTTGTAACTCTCATTTAATCCTCTTTTAATTCATTCCGTAAATCTATCACTCTGCGAAGAATTTTTTTGTTTTTAGTATACGTTTGGCTCTACCTTTTTTTTTTCTTACAACTTTTTCTTCATGTTATCTCTGTTGCAGGAAGGAAAAAAATCCTTTTGTATCTAATTTTCTGAACCTTTTATGACGTGTGTGGTCATTGTCTTTTGTATTTCTCCATCTCCATATTTAAGAGCTATTTTATAAATCGCCAGAATAGCGTCAGAATTTCTCAAAATTGTTTATATGATCATGAAGTTATTTTTTTTAAATAGTAACTCTTAGGCCCCTTTTCTCTGTCAGACACTATTTTATCACAATCTGTATTCTTCGTGTGCCCTGATTTCACTCTCCACAGATTTCAGTCTGTGTAGGAGCCAGGTTGCAAAATTTTACTTCAACCCCTCGAATGTCTTTGTCTGATAACTCAGGAAATATGCAAATTCCAGTTTATTGAAAACTAACAGGCAGTATTTTCTTATTGTAGACTTGAGAATTTCAGTCATATTAATAACTGTAGTATACAACACCGACAGGTAGATGAATAAGACATGTTCAATAGTTGGGTATCTTTATTGTTGGCGATAAAGAAAGACACCTGTTGCACATGTCATATTCATCTACTAGAGAATTTTAAATAGAACATTAAGAAAAGAAAGCTTGAGAAATATTGGAAACACATTTTTAAGTTCCACAAGTTTAGTGAGCCCTTAAATATCACATTTTCTTACAGCTATTGTCCAGAGCCAGTCATATGCTCTAGAATATATACATCAAGAGGTGTATGTTTGTATATGTATAATGAGTTTAGTATAATCCAAACTTGAGTATTAAAGTAATCTTGACTAGTGGCGAATAGGTGATATGCAGCCTTAATAACTCTTTGGGTAGTCGATAGGCCAATTAATAAATCATACTCAAGTACACTGTTCTTTCTTTTTCTTTCTCTTCTCCCCAAGACTTTCATTTATAACTTAGAAAATCTTATTGAATCTGCTTCACATTTTCAACACTGATGAACTGTAAGCGAAGGTTCCCAAGACTTAGCTTGTGCAGGCATCCTATGATCAGTTTTGTACAGACCATTCCCGATTATGGTTTTCATGCTATGATTTGATGCCTCTTCTGACCGACCTTAAATTTTCAACACCAGTGTCTCCTCCTCAGAATGTTGGGGTTGTTATTGGTGTGTGTATATTCAGCCTCACGTTTTCTCAATCCTCGAATTTTCCCCTTTAAAGAGGTTTTTAAGTTGCTTATCTTGAGACCTGTAGACCTCTCTCTTTAATTGTGTTTAACTGGTGTTTTATTCATTTAAAATGGTTCTCCTTATAAGAAATGACTAGTGTCAGTTGTATGAAAGGGAATGCTCCATTTTATTGCTGATATGCATTACATGTAATGTAAAGTACATATTTTTTGTATTTATAGCCTTTCATTACACGAGGGCCATTAAGCCGTATATCATTAACACGCACATCGTTACCATGCCTTACCCTTCTAGGGTAGGGTAGGTGCCTGAGCCCGAGCCTTTAGCTCATAAGACTGTCATTCCCATTTGCCTCCTTGGGGCGGGGATGGCAGACCAGAGAGGCCTAGCTTGTGGCTAGGCCTGGGGACAGTTGGTCCCAAAGATGAGGTACTTGTGCCTCCTCCCATGGGAGACTTAGGTCTCAGACACTTCCTAAAGAGGGAGCCAAGGCCGGGCCACCACTTGGAAAAGGCCCGGGCCGGGAGAATACCGGCAAATCTTTAATAATAATAATAATCATTAACACGATTAACATATAAATACCCTAATTCATAAAATAGGGATTAATACTTTAGTTCCTAAAATGGAGATTGAAGTATACGGCATTATATCTTGCTTGTATACAAAAAATTGAGGGAGAGATATTGGTGAATTTGTATATTGTTGAGATTGAAAAGCCTCGTCACGGTACCTTTGGCACGGTAGAGTTGAAAGAAAATGAATGACATTTGAGGGTTACTTATAAATAACAGCAGATATGTAAAAACAAATTCACTTTAGGGTAAAACACTGAAAATTATCATCTTGCTGTTGCGTATCTTTCCACGAGAAACAGGAAAAATTTTCTCCATTTAGGAAATAAAAGAACATAGTGATAATTCCTTCCTAATCTTGGTATGTAAGACGTGCAAACAGTTCTTTATTTACTGTCATAATAAAGGATGCTTGAAGGATGCCGCAGCACAATTGTCCATTGTTAAAGCATGGCGGAAGTGCTTGGGTATTTGAAGAGAATAGGGTGGAATTATCTTTATTGCCATCATCGTGTTTATATTTCCAAGTATTATTAATCATGATAAGATAAAAAAAAATAGTTATCAGTGGAGAAGATTGGGCACCCCTTTTGCCGCTGTTGGTGGTGTTGGTAAGGTGGTGGTGGTAGTGGTAGGGATGGTGGTGGTTGTGTTGTCTCCCGACGCTTGCCAGTCAGCAAGTCCTCACAGGCAGTTTCGCTCCGTGGAAGCGTGTGTCCATCATAGTGTTGTGTGAATTTTTATTTTTTTGAAGGATCTTCCCCCTCGAATGAGTTTATAGGCTGAATACTGGGCTGTGACTAACCGAAATAAAAAGTTAGACTTAAATCTCGAGTATATGTTTAAAAATAAGTCCTCTTAGAAGTTTGAGTGAGGCAGCCTCGTGGATGTCAAGGTGTTGCGAAGAGTACTGTGCAAGCCAGGGCTCACATATACTGCGATTCGTTTGAGGATAAGCTTGTCGCTGTGGAATAGCTACGGAGTCTTAACAGTGACGTAAATTTCAAGTAATTTTATGGCATACTGTGTAACGGTTATACTGAGAACATCTGGCGTCGAAGATGAGCCGCGCATAATCATGGCAGCCTGTGAATATGATGGATGTTACTACTTTAAAACAAGTCCATTTGAACCTTAATGCGTTTTATTAAAGTATTATACAGAATACACTACAAAACAAGTAAATCCGCATGAAGGCCCTAGGAGTAATGTGTTGTCTAAGGAGAACGGATCGGGCAAGAGGTGCATCATTAAGGGGTGCTACATTAATTTCACCGAATCATTACATAAGTGAAATATTGTAATTAATATTTTTAATTTTACTACCATGTGTAGCTAACGTGATGCTCTGGGTCATGTTTTATTCGCCAACTTGTGCCAATTCCATAAAACTTTTTAAATTTCTGAATCATAATGTTACAAGTCTAGCACCAGTGCTAGGTGCTGATCGGAAGTTCTTACCGGCTATGTATTCATGGATTTTATTAATTTTATGCCTTCAGGTGCCTTGATGCCTGTGAAGGGCTTGATCTAAGAGCTAGGAGCTACCATCCTTTTGGGCGTAAGAGGTATAAACACCAAAAAAGTTACAGATTGGGTTCAGTGTCCAATTTGCTGCTTTCTTTGATCTACCCTCGTGTTCCAAACGTATGATCCATACGGTTTTAACGCTTTCTCAAACTAATAATCTGTTAATTTTATCAACTGTTAGCACGGACTAAATGGTGCTAGAAATGTCCTGACCTTGTACCCGGAAGGTATTACCAAGACGCACAAGAGAAGAGGGGAAACCGCTATGGTGGACCAGGAAGTACTGCTCATTCTGCACCTGTTTAAGACCACGGAGGTCGATGAGGTCGCCTGTAACATTTCCTCGAAGGGAATGCTAATTAATAATATTCGCCCCTTGCACAAGCCCCAGATTCAAGCTGAGCTTGTTGACGCTGTGCTGCGTGTAGTCTGTGGGTGCGGTGTGTTGATGCTGTGGGTGTTACACGTTAAGATAAGATTTCGTTCGGATTTTTAACCCCGGAGGGTTAGCCACCCAGGATAACCCAAGAAAGTCAGTGCGTCATCGAGGACTGTCTAACTTATTTCCATTGGGGTCCTTAATCTTGTCCCCCAGGATGCGACCCACACCAGTCGACTAACACCCAGGTACCTATTTGCTGCTAGGTGAACAGGACAACAGGTGTAAGGAAACGTGTCGAAATGTTTCCACCCGCCGGGAATCGAACCCAGGCCCTCCGTGTGTGAAGCGGGAGCTTTAGCCACCAGGCCACCGGGCCTTAAACGTTGATTGTCGACGCTGTTACACAAAGAAATTACGTAAATAAAAGTAATTATGCAATGAAATTTATATTTTTAATTTTTAACTTGAAATATGCTAAGTTCGTTGTTTATTGCAGTTGATTAGTAAAAATAAAGTGGAAGAGGCTTGTCTTCCGTCGTAATTTTAAGTATGATCCTGTTTTAAACCCGCCCCTCACCATCGTGAAAAAAATCGTTGGGCATTTTCATCAAAACGCCAGGCAGGTGCACTATTTATTTACTTATGATTAAATAAACTTTTTTTTTTTCTGTATGTGACTAACCTTACAGTAATTTAGCCTAAAATAAAAGCTGATTCTCTGTAAACAGAGCGTTCAGAAATTAACGTTGGGGTAATGTGCTAAAAAACGAACAGTATCAATGAGGATAGATTGCTTAAGGGAGCGAATGTGCATGTGTGCGTGCGCGCGTGTACTTATGCTAGGGGAGGGTGTGGCATATAACACCAGGCATCGACCGGAGCTCTACATTAGTCTTAACCGCAGATGGCAGACCAAGAGCTCCACCAAGATAAGGACACTAGCATACTACCACTAATAATTTTAGTTACGAAATAATTACTAGAAGATGGTGTGCCACTGTTGCAATGCTTGATGCACGCGTGCCGGGGAATTCTTCATGATAAATATACATGTACGTTCAACGCCGTAAGTTCCGTGTTCTCTATATATACCGAACTTTTTTTTTATCTAGAGTCAGTTAATTAAAAGTACTGTTTTAAAATGTTTATTTATTAGCATAGTGTAACTTTAGTTTACTTCGGATTCACATATTTTGATTGAATCAGAAAGCTGTATTTACTTAAAATGATTATAATAATACGAAAACACCGATTAACCAGGATAAACGTGAAAGTGAAGTGATTTTTTTTATTCTTTCTTTACTATGCCTGAAACTTAAAACACGAGTGGTGAGGATGGAGCCTTGTGTTGACCAATAGAGACCAGGTATGACACCACACGAGCTTACTCTTATATGCCAGTTTCACTATGGTATTCATCCAGTACACGAAAACTTGTTCGGTTATTACTTTGTAACAGTTAAAAATTTGTAGCAAATGAACGGAAGTGATACATTTATTAGTGGTTAATATCAGTGGGCATGTTGAAGTACATGTGGAGTCCTGAAAAATGCAAAATGTTGAAAACTTAAATTTGGTGTGTGTGTGATGCCAGAGTGTGCCTTGAGATGGCACTGAGTCTCATAGACAAGGAAGACTCAACCGTTCCTAGTGGAAAGAAGGAAAAGTGGCGATTCTGGTTCTACTTCACCAGGAGGAAGAAGCGGGCTGCAGATAAATCTGGTAAGTGAAGAACAGCTAGAATTTTTTTTCGCTGATGATATGACATATGTATAAAAATACACTTTATGTTATATAGAAGCCACCACGTCAAAGGGAAAGTTGTTCTTACATTAACGCTTAACTGGCGAAAGTAAAAAAAAATATAAATTGCCATTGGAAAGACTCTGGATAAAATGTTAATGAATGAATGCAACAACATAGAATGCCAATTTTGAATTAGTAAAACACACACCTTCTGATCTAAAATCATCAAAACCCTCCGCATTCTGATGAAAGATTAGCAACGCATTTTAATCTATTTTTACCAGCTCCTAATCTAGGATTAGCGACACCTAATCAAGGCTTAAAGTAAAATAGCAACATTTTCTAATCTAGGTTTATCAACACTTTCTAATCTAGGATTAGGTCATTATAAGCTAGACAGCACAACACATTTAATTTAGAGTAGCAAAGACATTGACAATATTGGAAGCATGTATGTACATCATCCGGGAGAAGTGACTACAGTGCATAGCTTGTGATCGTAATGTATTCAGCGGGATATACAACTTAAAATTCCGAGAACACTTGTAATTTAATTAGTGTTAGAAGAAAGAGACGCACTAGCTGGTAGAGCATTCGGCCCTTACCACCTAACACTCAGCTCAGGTTTGGTTCCCGAGCTTGGAAAGAAACATAATTATGTATAGGCAAGCCTCTTGGAAAAAAACATAATTATGGGCAAGTCTCCTTGTACCTCATGCTTCTGTTCACCTAGTAGTAATGTACCTATGCGATTGTACTGTTATGGGGGCGGCAGTATACCTTAGAGCTGGGTTTTGAAATAAGCTGAGGTAATACAACAGATCTTTGCCGGTAAATTACACTAAACAAATGGACATCTTTTAATTATGTTAGTAGATAGGCCAGATTGCACCTACACAGCCCAAGATCAATCCGAACCTTCCTCTAAGACACACCAGCCTTTAAGATTTGAAGCCGATCAGAAGAGGCATTCTCCGGTTATTGAATGGTTACCGTTAATACCTGTACTTTACTTGTAGTCACTTCCTGAGGGGAGCTGCCCGATCCCAGCCTGGTCTGGTGCTGGCCTGATCAATCAGGCTGTTGGTGTCCGCCGCCTGCAATATATATATGCAGAGAAAGTACAGAGTTTTGCAATAAGATTAGTCCTGGAGCTAAGGGATATGTACCATGAAGAGAGAGAAAAAGGGAACTAAGCCTGATAGGGTGGACAGGGACATTCTTCAAGAGACAGGAAACAGGAAAACGAGGGCACAGCTGAAAGTTGAAAACAATTTCATAGGGATATTCACTCTTAGAAAGTTGAACGACCTGCACAAGTGGTAGAGGCAGGATCCATACATAGCTTTAAGAAGGGGTACGATAGATTAGATTTTAGATTTTGCCACCGAAGTGGCTAGTTTATTGTGCACCCCATATCCATTATGTGGACGGTAGCGCAAGAGCATATTGATACACAAAAGGCCTAGGAACTAGGCCCCAAAAGGGTTAATAGGTGTACATATGGGTTTTTATTTATCTACATATTTACAGTTCACTTATCTGTTACAAGCAAATTTAGGAAATTTGCTTAGTATATCTGGTATCTTATTTTCATTAATAAGATATCTTGACATGTCACGTAGGTTATTATACTGTATCTTTTTATTCCTCAATAAGTGGACAATTAAGCACATAGTGTTCAAGACAGTGACCATATGCCTGGTCACATAATTTGCATTTAGTTTGATCATCATCTGTGTGTCTCCCAAACTGCCAGAAGTACTTGTAACCAAGCCTAAGCCTGGCCACTACAACATCAGTCTGTTCACATTGCAAGTTGCTCCATAAACATACTTATCTAGGTTCATGTTATCATAGTGGGTTATAGATCTACTCAGGCTTCTAACTGCATTCCTATAACAATCATTTTCATTATTTACTTCTCTCCTAATATTATTCCTAATGCTAGACACAGATATACCCAAGTTATATTCTACATTCTCCTGGGTATTTTTCTTGGCTAACATATAAACTTTATCATGAAGGAGTAATCCAATGTGTGATGAGATCCATAGCAATTGTACATTAATTCCTAAAGACGGCGCCGGATCAGCCGGGCTGTGGTTCGTACGTTGGATTGCGTGCGGCCAGCAGTAACAGCTTCGTTGATCAGGCCCTGATCCACCGGGAGGCCTGGTCGTGGACCGGGCCGCGGGGGCGTTGATCCCCGGAATGCCCTCCAGGTAGACTCCCTGATTTTTAAGTATCTATACCTGGCTTCTCGAATGAGCATGTTGTTGGAGTCATTATATGAGTCAAGAGCCTTCAATGATGACATATAATCAGTAATGATGATAGAGTCAAGCTCAGTGTCATAGGTTAGCTTTAGCGCCATTAGGATTGCAAACAATTCAGTTTGCAGTGTAGACGCCCAGTTGTTAATTCTTATGCCTAACTCAAATTTATTATGGTTCTTAACTAGGGAGGTGGCAACAAGAGCAGATGCAGCCCTGCCAGAAGACTCCTGTTTAGATACATCAGTGTATATAATTTGTGATAACTTATTACTACCAGCTAGGTGAGAAATTTCTTCTTGAGCAGTTGTTTTAACAAGTGATTTAAGGAAGGAATTACTAGCAATGAGCTTCTTGGGAGGGACTTGTAGGTATGTGATATTAAATGAACACATCTTCCATGGAGGGGTGAAATGCTCTTGTTGCCTACAGTAATACAGTTCTTGCAGGTACGATAGTGTTTTCGAATCACGAAAATTAATAACAGGATTACAAACAAATTACAGAATAGGTCTGGTTCGAACCCATGGCAAATGAGTCTTAAAACTCGTAAGCCAGTGGTTAGCACTGGTTTCAGATTTAAGACTCTTACCCTGGGTTCGAGCCCCACCCGTTTTGTGATGTGATAAGCTCAAGAAGCCAGGAGTGAACCTTGTAGTGGCCAGCAAAGAAGTGGGATCAGTAATTGAGACTCGACCCCTGCAAACCACAAAAAGGCGAATACATAAAGGTGAATACAACCCGGCTGATTAGGAACTGATTTGAAGAATTGATAAGTTCCCTTTTGAAGATAGCTAGAGGTTTGTTGGTAATTCCCCTTATGTATGAAGGGAGGGAAGTGTAGAATCTTGGTTCCTTTGTACGTATTTTGTTCTCTATGTATACTTCGCGACCCTGCTTTTCACCAGTGGTATCCGGAACCGTCTGCCAAGTCATTTTCACGAGTAGTGTGTAGATTTGGGACCAATCGCATCTGCTAGAAAAATGACAGGATGGATAATGAGAACCTTCAAAACTAGGGATGCCAAGCCCATGATGACACACTTCAGGTCGCTTGTTCTATCTAGGCTGGAATATTGCTGCACACTAACAGCACCTTTCAAGGCAGGTGAAACTGCTGACCTAGAAAATGTACAGAGAACCTTCACGGCGCGCACAACGGAGATAAAACACCTCAATTACTGGGAGCGCTTGAAGTTCCTGAACGTGTACTCCCTGGAACGCAGGCGGGAGAGATGATTATATACACCTGGAAAATCCTAGAGGGACTAGTACCGAACTTGCACGAAAATCACTCACAACGAAAGCAAAAGGCTCGGCAGACGATGCAACATCCCCCCAATGAAAAGCAGGGGTGTCACTAGCACGTTAAGAGACAATACAATAAGTGTCAGGGGCCCGAGACTTCAACTGCCTCCCAGCATACATAAGGGGGATTACCAATAGCCCCCTGGCTGTCTTCAAGCAGGCACTGGACAAGCACCTAAAGTCAGTACCTGACCAGCCGGGCTGTGGCTCGTACGTTGGATTGCGTGCAGCCAGCAGTAACAGCCTGGTTGATCAGGCTCTGATCCACCAGAAGGCCTGGTCACAGACCGGGCCGCGGGGGCGTTGACCCCCAGAACTCACTCCAGGTAATCCCTCCAGAATAAGATTCTAGTATCTGCAAAGCAGGATACAGTGCTATAGTTTGTCAGATGAGAAAAAGCGCTGGGTCTAGTACTCTTCCTTGGGGAACGGAACACTCCACTGTAGCAGCTCCTGGTTTCACCATTTACTCTTACTCTTTGGATTCTGTTTGTTAGAAAGTTAAATATCAGTTTGCCCGCCTTTTCGACTACGCGCATGTTGTGCGCAGTTATCCCATGGTCGCACTTGAATGACTATAGATTTAAAGAGAGATAGGGAAATACTGTTTTGACAGTAGAATTGTACACGAGCGTAACAAACTCCCAGGTAGTCATTGAGGCGAGAACTTTGCATAGCTTTAAATCCCAGCGACGACCGTTTTTAACGTTTAACTATGCTCTTGTGTAGATGTTTCCCACCTCTTAATTAGCAAAATGTCGTTCCTTTGGTCTATTTTCATAACTCGTACCCCAGAGCTCGGGAATAGTCTGTGCAGCTTTTCCAGTTTCTTAACATGTTTGATTTGGTGCAGGTTCAATGTTGGTATTACATACTCCAAGATGGCCAATCTGAAACAGACGATCTTAACAATATATATATATATATATATATATATATATATATATATATATATATATATATATATATATATATATATATATATATATATATATATATTATATATATAATATATATATGTCGTGCCGAATAGGCAGAATTTGCGATCTTGGCTTAAATAGCAACGCTCATCTTGCCATATAGGACAAGTGAAAATTTGTGTATGCAATAATTTCGCCAAAATCATCCTGAACCTAACGAAAAAAATATATTTCACTGTGTTTGTTTAGTATTAAATTATTGTAAACAAATCTGAAATGTATTTAGTTGCGTTAGGCTAAAATAAATTGCTCTTTTTATAATAAGGTTAGGTAAGTTTTCTAAGATTCTTTTGGTGCAAAATTAAAAATTTTTACATTAACATTAATGAAAAAAAAATATATCTTTAAATGTATAAGAGAAAATTTCAGAGAGGACTTAATTTTAAATGAGTTCTTGCTAATTGACCAGTTT